GGGCAGCAATCTCTGGGTTGACAGCCGTCTCGTTGCAGAGGACGCTGGCCAAACCGACAGACCCGGTATTGCGCTCGAGAGCGCGGTACAGCAAAGCCGCAGCCATACCCGGGATATCCCCCGCCGCCTTGGAGTTGGTAAAGGCCTGGTCGGCTGTTTCCATCTGCAGGCAGTCGAGGTTGGTGACGAGCCCTGCGCCGGCCGCGGCCGCGGCGTTGCCGAGGAGGGCAAAAACCGGGTCTTGGATGTTCTTGGGATTGTTTATGGCTAGTGCGGTGCGCACGAGGTCGAGGATGAAGTTGTGCGAGTGTTCCTGGGGTACCTCGCGTCGCTGGATCGCGAGAGGTCCAGCTGAGGCCAGTGCCGCGAGGAAGAGGGTGGCGATTTGGGACTTCATCTTGTCGTCTTGTCTCTGGTTGTCTGTTCGTGGTAGTAGAAATAAATGGACCAAAATTTTGAAAAGGACCGGCCGGTTGTTATGAAAGGCAAAACTATATTTGGTAAAAAGGAGTGAAAGAATGAATGAAACGGTTCACTGAACCTCTTGGCAAGAAGAAAAGAATGTTAAACCCGCGAAAGAAAGACCAATGTGTAGAGCGACAGTTGAAGAGAAGAGAGGAAAACGTGGAAGAGGATGCAAATGGGAGCTTTATGTGCATGCCACCATCGTGGTAGACAATCATGGTCCATGCAGAGGAGTAGCGAACCGTCTGAACATCGGATCAGTTTCGCAACTCAGTGGAGCAAGCATGGGATGGACAAGATCAGACGATGGGCGCCGGGGAAGATGTTCGACCAGGGCACGAAGCTTAGCGCCACTGCAGTTCGTGGGACAGGCCGTATCAAGATCAGGCCAACGCATGACAGACGAGCGACGATCAGGCAACGCGAGTTGCGCTACCCGGGGACCAACTTCGTCCCCTTAGGTTGACGGCGACAGATCACGGTAGAGTTGGTAGATCGATAATCTCCCTGGATTTTTGGTATCATGCAACTGAATGCTGGTGAAAGACGAGAGGGCAGAGTCAACTTTCACCTGAGATTTCCCTCTTGAGTTCTCGACTTCTTGAATCCAGGAGACAAAAGATCCCAGCAAGCTCCACGTTTTGTGGCGCGCTACCGATGCAAGCAAGGGTGGCTTGATCGATCGTGCGGCGCTGGACAAACTGCAGGGCAGGGCGGCAGAAAGCACGTCTCGGGAAGGGGTCCGTCCGAAATGCTAGGGGCTCGCGATGCGGCGCGCTGGGCTGCAGTGGTGTTGAACGCGGGGAGGAAACCTGCCAGCAGGTGCACAAGCCTTTCTTGATCAAGAGATGCATGGACAGCATTAAGAAGTCAGTAGACTCATGAGGATCTGTAAATCATGGTGATCTGGTCGATAAAGGTCGTGCCTGTTGAAAGAAGTTGGGGGGTTGAGTCCAGACGGCTTGGCAAACAGCAGGAGTTTGGGCGCTTTTTGGAGGCGAAGGGGCTGCTGAAGCTTGTCGCAGATCCCTGTCGTCGCCCGCCAGCCAATCGACGCTCGCGAACCCATCATGGGTTGGGGATGCAGTGAAACCTGATGAAGCTTCAGGGGTCCGTCCGTCCCTGGTGCCTGGTTATTGAACGATATCACTGATAACTCGCTTAATAAGTTTTATCATGGATGATTAACATTGATGGATAAATTGGGTTAATGGAAAGGCATCCTCGCCGTTGGTAAGAACGGAGTACACCATTCATGGTTAAGTAGTAGCCTATCGACTACTTTATAAGGGTCCAGCTCTCGACTTTTCAGGGCACCTGGTAGCAATCCTGGAAATACTTATTTACGCAGCCAAATATCCGCTGTAAAGACTGTCATAAGTCCTAGCACCCCGATAACAAAATATGTCACAGACAAGGAATCTTACAGGGTTTAATAAGGTACCTGATGGCTACCTACTAGGTATTTACCGTGGAATGGTGTAAGGCTGGCTCGGTGAGGTGCCGAACTGAGCAAGGCAAATAGCGAGAAGAGCCGTTTCCGCATGATACCACTAATAGCAATATTTGTATCACCTAGAGAGCTTCACATTCAACAAGAAGGAACTATTAGAAGAATCATTCTTCCAGCTGAGTTGTTTTGCATTGGTGACATCATACATAAATCACTATTCCCAAACACCAATCCCACAAAAGAACTAGAGAACAGCAATCACGCCACTCAATAACAGCAATAATGCTGCTTGGTAAGTCATGCAACAGATATTAATGATGCCGCCTGCCCGCCCAAGTTCAAGCAGCACCGACAGCAGTGCCCTGAGTCGTCTTCCCCGCCTCGTCCTCGGGCGACAGATTCGCCTTGGCCGGTCCACTGACACAGATACCCTCCTTCGAGAACCGACTGCCGTGCACAGGGCAGTCAAAAGACTTCTCGGCCGCATTCCAGCAGACCACACCTTTCAAGTGCGGGCACAGCGCGCTGAAAGTGGTCACCTTGCCGTTCTCATCCTTGTAAATAGCCACCGGCTTAGATGTTTTCTGTGTTTAAGAATGTTAGTAAAAAGTCTCAAACCCGATGATAGAAATTTCGGTCTCATGTGACATACCGGATTCAAAACACCACCGCTTCCTTTCGCCAGGTCCTCAATATCAGTGATATCTGACTGCAAGAACCGCTTATACTGAGCATTGATCTGCAAGTCGTGGCTGACCATGCTTGGCAAGCTCTTGAGGATACTCCCAATCCGCTTGGGCGAGTACAGCGACGCCCACTCATTCTCAACACCGTCAATCTCGTCCGCAATCAGACGGCCAGCCAGCACGCCGTGCGTCAAGCCATCTCCAGAGTCACCAGTAACAACAAAGATCTTGTCCATGCCCTGGTTCTTGCCGATGAAGGCCATGTAGTCAACCGGCTCAAATATCTGCCCGCTCCAGCGGTAGTCGACCTTGCCGGCCTGCGGGAACCGTTCCCGCGTCCACGTCTCGAGCTCGGCGAAGCGCGGCATGGTTTCCTCCTGGCCGACCTTGTGGTCGCACCCACCCACCACCATGTAATCATCCACCTCATCGCATGCGGTCAGCCGTACGTACTTGTACTCCTCTGCATTGTCGTAGAGCAAACAGTCCTCGACGCTGCCTCGCGGCACGCGGATCGCGATGCAGTAGCTGCGGTAGAACTCGAGCTGGGTGATTATGCTGAGTTTCTGCAGGGGCACGCAGGTAGCTTCCACCGCGTACTCGGCCTTGATGGTGTGTCCCTCCTCGGTCTGGATGACTGCAGACTTGTGGCCAATCCCCAGGATCTCGACACCCTTCTCCTCAATCGACATGGCGCGGGTGCGCGTGAAGCACTTGAAATTGTGCTGCTGCTTTAGCCACTCCAAGACACCGGACAGATATTTGGTTGGGTGGAAGGTAGCCTGATTGTCGGCGACCAAACCGCCGCGTTGGTCAATCTTGCCGCTCCAGCCTTTGACAGTGAGGTTCTCCTGTTTGTTCATCTCGTTAGCCGATAGTCCTGGATAACCAAAATCGTAACGATAAGTCAACATACATCAAAGCGCGTCTCGATCCCCAGCTCATGCTGGTACTCAGCCTCCTCCTTCAACTCCTTGAGCTCCTGGCTGTGCTTCTTGTCGCCCACGGGGTACTGTGAGACATCGTACGCCGGCAGCTTGCGATACTCGCAGTCGATGCCCAGCTGCTTCGAAATCTCGCCGATGCGGTCACGCGCCCAGGCGTGACTCTGTGCTGCGGCCTTCGCCCCCGCCTTGCCGTGCTTCTTGGCGATCTCCAGGTATCCATCGTCCAGGTCGTTGGTCAGGTGGCCGCTCGTCCGGCCGGTCTCACCTGACAGGACATCACGGGCCTCAATCATCACGACATTCTTGCCGCGTTTTACAAGCTCGTAGGCCGTCGAGATACCTGCGATGCCGGCACCGATGATGCAGATGTCGGTCTCGAGGTCGCTCGTGAGCGGTGAGAACTTGGGATAGGCCGAATAGGGCTGCTTATGAACCCAGACCGAATCGCGTGCACCCGAAGTGTGCATCGACTTCTCTGGCTCTGGCTCAGCTGTCGGCATTGTGGTTGATGTGGATGCGTATCTGGAGTTCGGTGGATTAGCTTTGGTAGTGGGTGTATGGCAAATCGTAAGAGTACGAGTTACTTTACCTGGATGGAATCGACTGAGGTTGTAATGCCGAACGAGATGGAGTATTCCGGGACGAAGCTGTAGTAAAGTGCTTTGATGAAGAAGATTGGTGCAGTCGGGATGTTTGGGAAATGTAGGCACGGCCCCCCAAGATCAAAGGAAAGCGTCGTGTTATTGGCGGTGTTGAAGTAGTGACGTCACCACCAATGAGCTGTTGACGGGGTAGCAGACTTGTCCCCACGAGTTTTGTAGACGACGGCCTTGTGCAAAGTCGCGTTAAAAGTGCCATTTGGCTACTTGGAGACACTCAGCGGAGCTGAAAAGGAAACTGCCCGAGAGTGACCGACTTAAGGATTGGAGGGCAGGGCAGGGCAGGAAGTGAAGGTACGCTGCAGTAACGGACGTCGTACAAAATTGGAGACGAGTTCAATTGGCTTGCAGTTCCCCTGGGGAAGTTTTGCTGGCAAAACGAGAGCTTCCTGAAATAATTCCTCTCCTGGGGGAAGCTCAACGCCAAGACAGGGCAACACAGTCATGACGACATCATTCTGCACGCCGTTGGATGGACAGGAACCAGCGGTCTTGGCGCGTGCGGGGAAAGGGCTAAAACCGTTACGCGCCGAGATCTCCAGTCGACGGAGGCGACGCGATCATTGCCCCACTCTCAACGACAGCGCAGACTTGCGCCCCAAATGAGCTGGGAGTACGTTCCGTAAACAAGACCGACGACACCACTGTCGCTGGCGTGAGATCTATATGCACTGGATTTGATATATCATGTCCTATGAAAGCAAGGTAGTTTAGTTAAACCCCCGTAAAACGTGAAAAGATAACGGGGAAAAGGGCAAAAAAAGAAAGAAAGAATTTGGAACTTCGACAGTGATCGTACCCGGGCTCGAACCGAGATCTCTCCCCCTTCGGAGGGTACCTTATTAACAGTACCGCTCTCGTCTTGCAACGGAGTGTAATGACCATTATACAACAAGACCATCCGAAGAGTTCAACTATTTAGAGGTGCAGGGGAAATACTGTTCATAGACCTCGACATGGTCACCTCTACTTCACCCACGCTCCGGCCAAGAAACACGTGGGTCTCAAGCCATCGCAGCTCGAATCCCAATCCAGAGGGAGGCGAAGCAACTGCAGGTGTGCACCACAACATTGAGAGGCTGCCACATAATCCAAATGCATGAGTTATATTCAGGACAATCTCGCGAACTGGGGCAATCTGTCCCGCTTGCCGCCAACAGCCGTCTATCGGTCAATGCCGACAACCTTGTCAATATTTCCCCCCCCCCCCCCCCCCTTTCTTTGCGCAGCCACTGATTCTTCTTGCAAAGCAGCCACCGACTTCCCCTTATCTCCTGGTCAGGCACAGACGCGCAAATTTGCCATGGGAGTCGGTTGCCACGGTTGCGATGTGCTGGCCCTCCAGTGGCCAGCTTTCCCACAGCTCCCAGCACTGCCAGAAGAGTAAAACCATAATCCAATATGACGATAAATCAGGGCCTCGTTGTGTATGTAGATTTGTGTAACCTAAGTGTGTCAATTTGTCCTGTGATGGTCGTAGATGATGCGCATTCAATTAAATAGGGAATCCGGCGTACAGAAAAAGGATCCAGACATGTGCAGCGACAAGTAATTTGGCAGTTCATGGGATCCTGACAATTGTTAATGTTTTAACTCATGAGTGTGGTTGCGCTGCGACCGCGGTGTGCAAAGTGGTGGCGAGTCGCGAGGCTGTGCTCAATGCTGGTGTTGCGCGTCGTACGCGATGGGAAAAGCTTCATTCGTGCGACGGGGTCGGGTGCACTCGTTGTGGCGCGGCAAATATTTTCAACGAAAACCTCATCGCAGGTCATCTGGGACCGACGACGACGACTGGTTCTGGCAGTGGGCGGTAGGCTGGCTGCGCGGGTCCGAAAGGACGAGGGCCGAAGTGGGGGGACTGAGGATTCAGGTATATGTGCAAGTTTTGCAGCTCCGAATTTCAGGGTAGAGAACAAACTTCGGTGGTCGTATAGTATAATGGCCATTACGTTCAAATCGTGGGGTCCCCAGGCATTGCGCTTGGCAACAGAGGTTGTGCTCCTGGCGGTGTCCCAGGCGGGCGAGCATCTCGGTTCGAGTCCGAGCTCGATCATTTGATTTTGTTACTTTTTTTTCTTCACGGTGTCCTAAACAGCAATTTTTTTTTTTTTGGAGAACTGCTCTCTGCTTCTCAAGGCTATTCGATTCCTACATAAGTTCGTGCTAAGAAGAGACAAAAAAAAAGTCGGATTGGTGCGGAAGAAGTACAGCATAGAAATGAGGGTGTGAAATTCTGCTGTCAGGCAAAGAAATAAAGAACCATGCATAGCGAAGCGAAGTGAAATGAGACCCCCGTTACCAGTTCCTTGCAAGCCAGTTGTTCAATCAAAGATACTTGGACATCCAATCATCCTCTCTTGAGGCATCCTCTGTTCCCTCTTTCAAACGCCTTAATGCAAGCCTTGTGAGAGCGACGATGGAATCGATGTTGTCCTCGAAGTAGTCGGTCCCTGTTGTCATGTGCTTGCTTGTTCCGGGATCCTTGCTTCTTCTTCTTCCTGAGAAGCAGAAGTAGGACGTTTTCGAATGCATTGGCATCGCTTGATGGCAGCAGCGCTCTATTTTGTCGGAAGCGACGGGCAATTGATTCATGATTAAGGCAGAATTCATGGCGAGCCTTGCGGTCTAAAACGCTCTGTCGAGCATTGCTGCACCCTTCAGCTTTTGTAGATATCTGGATGTTTGGGTTAGAGAGTTTGCTGACTTCGAAACCGACTTGAGAACTCACCTTGTAAACAGTAGTCCACCTCGTCGCTACCGATAGCCTCCGGACAACCAAGGACGGCGGCAACGATAGGCATCATGGCAAGCAACAAACAGCTTGCCATCCCGCCTCGCAAGCCAGCCTTGCAATCGTGACTTGCATGTCCTGCATCGTAGAGTCATCACAAGTGTCTCGGCCCGTTGGGTGACTTAAGGCCTCAAGCTGGGTGCTAAACGCTCATATAGTCTACCTTGACAAATAACATTGAAAAGAAGTAGATACAAATGGGCTGCGTTCGAACGGCCAAACCCGTGTACCTGACAAGAAACGAAATGTAGCAGATTGAAAAAGAGAAGATGACGAAGATGTCTGACTAGCAATGTTCGACACCGAATAATGAGGCTCATTTTAGGTTTGTTGTGGAGTGTTGCCGCAGGGCGGGATGAGTTTACAAGGCTGTACATATAGTTCAAGTCCGACTGCGATTGCTAGATATATTATCTACTGCTTTTCGATGTTTTACATATGTTCATTTACCACGAACTAGGTATACGCTTGTACCGTAGTTCTCTAGCGGTAGTGAGTGCGTGAGAAAGTCCATCAAAAAGAATAGAATGCTTTGATCTAACTCGGACTCGAACCGAAATCTCTTCCTGCGTAGGAACACCGCGTCTTGCTTAAATTGGGGACCCACGAATATTTCGCCTTTGGATGCTCCCCGCCTACCAAGCATTCTACACCAAATCGGAACAGGAAAGCCGAATAAACTCATTCTACCTCTTTTGCCATCTTGACGTCATTCAGCCCTGGTCAAGCGCGCCCAGAGAGGAGAATTGGACAAGATCCTCCGAATTATGCTCTTTCCACCATCGCCAGGCCGCATCCATCAACTCCCACGGGAAAAGCGGCCATAAGCCTACACCATTCCACGGTAAATTGTAGCCATAAAGTACTTTAAAGGGTCCTAGTTGGTGACTTTTTAAAGCAAAATACCTTAGGAAGCATCCTGGAAATACTTATTCAAGTGGTGAAAGATGCCTGGGATATCCCATTTCGTCCCCTAGCAGCCGATCACAGATGGTGTCACAGAAAATAGGTTTACAGGCTTCTTCTCTCACATTACTCGATGGCTACTACCTTACTTACAGTGGAATGGTATGTTCAGCAATGGAATAGTGGGGACTGGGGCGAATACTGCGACTGTGTTGTGCAGCAGGCGTAAAGGGATAAGTAGTAATGTGCATCTCCTGAGCCATGGGGAAGAAGAGACAGGCGTTTACTTTCTCTTTCTTACACATCTGCATCTGCATGTGATATAAATAGCTAACCAGATGTCCAAATGGTGTTGTATCATGCAGTATTCGATTTACTCAGTATCCGTGATTCCGCCCATTTAACAAAGGTTGTAAAGAGATGCAATAAGCAAAGGCTATATCTGTATTGATACAGGATGGAATTATATACAACAAGAATAGAAATATTTGATCACGTCCCACTATCAGGGCCGTTGCGAGTTGCTTGGCAACTAACAACAGAAAACGAGTAGGAACACGTGGGCTGTGTTCAAGCGACCAATCCGCTTTAAACGACAAAAGCCGAAGAGAAGAAGTAGAATACAGAAGACTCATGCCAATAACATAAGATACATTCTTCACAGCCCTGGTCTTGAGCCACCGCACCCCGTACCAGCAGCGGGACGAGTAGGCGCAGCAACTTGTGCCAATCTGGTGCGCATGGGGCGGCCACCACGAATTGGGCCGCCGCGGTTGGGGCCACGGATGGGCCCACGGTTGGGACCCCGGACAGTTGTTGTTGCCGGTGCCTTGGTCGACGTCGTAGCTCGGCGAGTGGAAGTGGCAAGAGTCGTCGGGACGGCGACAGCAGGAGTGGTTGTCGGCGTCGTCGTGGGCGGAATCACGAATGTGGGATCAATGGCGGTGAAGGACTCCGAGAACGTCGCCGAGCTCAATGTAGTAGCAATCGGGACGTCCATGGTTGGGAAAGAGTCGGTGAAAGTAGCTGTAGTAGGAATCGGGATGTCCACGGTCGGGAAAGCGTCGGTGAAAGCAGCTGTAGTAGCAATCAGGACGTCCACGGTTGGGAAAGAGTCGGTGAAAGTAGCTGTAGTAGCAATCGGAATGTCCACGGTTGGGAAGGAGTCTGTGAATGTGGCTACGCTCGCAGCAACGGAGTGGGCCGAGATGTTGCTGGCAAGTGCCAGTGCGAGGGCGGTAGTAGTGAAACGCATGGTCGCGGAGTTGCGGTTGGGAACTAAATTCTGGAAATAGTGTGCTTGAGAAGTCTCGCCGGCCAAGCAGCGAGGATCATGTGAGTAAGTATGAAGAAAAATGCTGACCCGAAGGAGTGTAGGGCAGGGAAAGAATGAAAGAGAACACTGGCAACTTTGGCCAAGTACAAACGGAACAAGGAAGAGAAGTTGGTGATAGAAAAAAGAGAGAGTTGCAGTGATGGGGGCCGAGGAAAGGTACTTATCTGATCTCACCGTCACCAACACCGGCAATTACCGTACCATCGTGATGCTTGCTTGCACGAGCTCGCTTGCATATCGTGAACCTGGCCGTTGGGTTGACAAGGGTTGATATTCGACGAGAAGCGGGGGAATACGGATACATATTGGCGATATTGACCAGGGACGCCAAGATCCAGCATCCAATCCTCACCGACCGGGGTTGGAGGTTTCACGAAGCCGCGCTAGCAGCGCAGAATCGGCGGGTCCCAGATGTTCGGGAGGCCCCGAGAAGACCAAGTGGGCCTCATCTCGAATCGAAACTGCCAAGGCAGTGGTTCGACCGCCCATCATTTCGCGATTGACGCCAGGGTCAATGATCCACGACGGGGTTCAGTGACCGTTTAGATGCACCTAGACCGGCCTGGACGTTTGAGATCTGCATAGATGGTGGAGAGGGAACCATGATGTTGATGATGTTTGCTGACGTTGCCGCGTTGGCCAGACGGAAAGTCTTACCGGTCACTGGTCTGTTGGAGACTCCCAGTGAGAAAAGGAAAGAGAGTCGAGCTCCACCAACAGAGCGCTGCAGCGACATGGGTAGGCGGCTGGCCGCAGTTGGCGACCACTTGGCAAGTTAGCGCCTTTTCGAAGCCAACATCCCGAAGCTCGACGCCGCCATGTCTTGAACTGAGCAAATCTTTCACACGATGGCCCCATAGCGACAA